AGCCATACCTCACCTCAGCACACGCCCCAACCGTGTCCGACCTCGGCGTGGCAAATCGTTCCAGGACCGTGATTTGTTTTGATGGACTGATTATGTTTCATTAAGTGTCTTTAAACAATTAATACCTGCAAGACCACTGGAAATCATGGCAATTAATTCTAAATTAAATGCCACTTTGAAATTTCACTTCTAGCTCTAAATTAGCTGTAGTCAATTCTGTTTGATTGAACTAAACTGGTATTTAAATTTTAAATTGTAACCAGGGACCAGATCAGAAAATTCAGGAGGAAGAGGACAGGCTGGACAATCACTAAAGGATAGGGAGAGAGAGAGAGAGACAGAGAGAGAGAGAGAGAGAGAGAGAGAGAGGCGTGAGCTCACCTGTGCCCACACACACCCATGGGCTTTGGTTCTGCCTGCTCCATCCCCTCCCGTCCCTTTGGATATTAGTTCTCTGATCTCTTCTGGGAACCTCACTTGGAGGAATGCCCATCCCTATCCTGGGTCCAGGTGTGAACATGTGACTCAGACCAATCAGAACGCTGCTTTTCTCTAGCTATGGTGATTGGCCTGAGGATGAGCGTGTGATCCAAGCTGTGCCAATAGATGCCATTTCTCAGGGCCAGTGGAGAGAGGGCGGCTGGAGCGGGAGCAGCCATACTGCCTCCGTGAGGGCCAACAGAAGGAGCAGAGCTAAAGTGGGAACAGGAGAAAAACGGTCCTGGAGGTGTTGGCCGAGCTTGGAGACTTATATCACAGCTTCTTACTAAAGCATGGGCCAGGCAGTGCTCTGCCAGGAGGAAGTTTGAAGTGAGGACATTAATTAACTCAGCTTCCTGGGACCAAGCCAGGGTCAGCCGGCACACGCGTGGCCCTCGCGGAGGGGAAGTGAGTCCTGCTGAGATTTCACACCCCGAGGCCTCACTTAAGCCATTCTGACTTGAACCCCACTAGCCTGACACAGACAGAGAGCCACAGTGTGTGCTGGAAACCACGAAGCCTGCATTGGTGGACTCGGCTGTTATTAATTTGACCCTAAAAGGTACATATTTATCGGGTTCCACACGTTGTTGCAAAACATGCATCCACTTTGGGAGCACGGAGGCACTCTGGTCTCCCCGAGGACTTACCTTTTTCTGTAGAAACACTAAACGCCTGCATGCTTGGCAGATTTTCAAGAAATATGTTGTCCCCCTGCAGCACTGTGGATCTCTCCACCCCTTCCTCTGTCTCAAATTTGATGTCCTTTGACCGACACCTGCCAGCCCCTTGATAACCACCATCCTGACATCTGCTTCTGGGAGTACGGCTTTTTTAGTGAACCAGGTCACTCGGTCTTTGTCTCTCTGTGCCTGGCTTCTGCGCTAAGCGTGATAGATCCTCTGTGTGCTAAGTTTGTTCATTTTGTCAAAAATGATGGGGTTTCCTCCTTTTGAAGGCTGAGTAGTATTCCACCATGTGCACAGAGCACACTTTCTTGGACACAGAGCTGCATTCTGTTGTTCAGCCGCAGGCCTGCTGATGCCTCTGGGAGTGCTGGTTTCCTTTCCCCCAGCTCCAGACCCCAGCGAGGGGCTACTGAGAGCCTTGGGCCCTGAGGCTGGATCTGCACATGTGTTCACCATGACCTCCAGCCTGGGGGCTCGGCTCTTTATCTGTGTGTGGGGAGGGTTGGGGCCTCTCCCTGGCCAGCTAGTCCCGATGGACGCTTCTCCCTGGTCTCTCTGCAGCAGGGGAATCCAACGGCCATTTCATGCCCATGTCTAGTCAGCTGCATTGGCCACACTCTCCTGGGGATAAAGGAAACAGGGACACGACTGGGACACTGGATGACAGAAGCTGGCTGGGTTTGCTCGCCATCGAGCTCAGCAGGTCTGAGCACACAGTTCTCCTTGTGGCTTCCAAGCCGAGCAAAACTATACCCGGCACTGAGTGAGATAAACAGGGGCTGCTGAGGCCCCCCTGCTGGACTTCTCCAGGTAGTAAGGGGACAGTCCCATCCCCACCTCTGGGTCTCACAGGTGCCCCCCTCTGCCCTGGACCAAGGCCACATTCTGGGCCACACTCAGTGCCACATGCAGCCCATGCCACAGCCCAAGTGTTCCCTGAGCAACGCATCACCGCCATGGTCCAGTGGACACCCCAGCCCAGCCCTGGCATCAACGTCAGCCCTGGACCTGCTCCCTACCCACACTGGTCCTGGGGAGGCAGCAACCTCCAGTCGCACTGGTCAGGTCTGCTCCTCGCCCACCCTCTGCTTCCTCCTATGGAAAAGGCACTGGCGATACCATCCCCCTCTGTGCGATTGTTGTGGTCACACGAGCAAAGCTCAGGGTCAGCACTGACGTGGTGCAGAGCTCAGCACTTCACCAGCTGGGCGCCAGGCGTCTCTGTACTCTGGTAGAGCCACACTTCCAGGGAGCGGCCACCACCAGCCCGCCCCTGGTGTCACAGAGGGAGAGCAGGTGGGCCAGGGCAGGAGCAGGGATTCTAGACCCTGGACCCAGTGTCTCATGGGGCTGCTGGGCCCAGCTGGGCAGCGGGCGGCCCCTACCTGCCTGAGAAGCTGGAGGGAGCCTGGGATCCCCGACAGTGGGGGTCTTGGGACCTCCATGTGGATGCAAGTTCAGGGAGACGCCCTGCAGTCCAGGGAGGGCAGTGCATGCCAGGCCAGGACCCCTGCCAGCTGATGCCCCCTGCCATTCATTAAAACCTGAAAATGGAACTCGGGAATGTAATTAACAATCCAAGTGCAAAGAATGGAGGTTTGTGGATTTTTTTAACACTTCTATAATCTTTCATTAACAGCTACAGTTTTAGGTGGCTGCACATAAGTGGTGGGAAAAATAATAGAAGCGACATCTCTGGAACTCAGTCCCCCCACTGTCGGCAGGGTGACACTTCCCCAGAGGAGGCCCAGGTTGTGATTTAGGTCAAGAAGCCCCTCAAAGCCTCCTGCACTCACAGGCAGGGAACAGGAAGTGACTGGATCGTGGGGGGTCCTGTGTGCCCCTCTAACCCTGCAGTGAGGAGGTGGGGCATAGCCGGAAGAGGCGGGTCCATCTCCCCCATCCCTACCCATGCCCCTCTGAGGTGCAGCGGCAAGTCCCAGAGATGGCATGCAGCTATCCAGGTGGCTCAGCTGAGAGGAACCTCAGAAGATTCTCTACTGGCATTAAAATCCACTCACTTGCCAGCCTCTAGAGTCCCCACCCATGGAGCAGGCACCCACCTCGAGTTGGTGGTGCTGCATGATTGCAGGCCACGGGCCCTGGGGCCCAAGGTGCAGGCCAAACCTTGAACAGCGTCCAGCAGGACCTGAGGTCCTGACACCTGGCTCTCCTTTCCCAGCGTCCTCTTCGTGTGCCAAATCCAAATCCACAAGCACTGCATTTTAATTGGGATGCTTTCTAAGGGGCTCAGCTATGGAGTTTTAGAGAGAACAAGATACCACATTTTTAAAAAGTAAATGGTCGGGATCAATGGATGGCTGCAGCTGTCCCCATGTAGGTGTGACAGCTGCGGCCAGCTGTGCCCAGCTATGCCCACAGATTGGGGGCAGAGGTCTCCACAGCTCTATCCCAGTCCATGCCCTCAACCCGAGGGCCCCTCTGCAGTCTCCATTGCATGTGGTGGCTCCAAGCCAGAGGCCAAGGACAGCAGGACACAGGGGGACTTTGGCTTCCCACAGTCTCAGGACCCGGACCACCGCTGTGTGCTGTGCGGGAGCTGAGGGTCCAGGGAAGCCGGCGGGGCCTGGGTCAGGCTGTCCTGTGGGGTTTGCTGAAATCAGTCCCAGAGCCCTCTGTCTCACCCCAGGGATCCCTGTGCCCCCCCCAAGGTCCCTGGACTTCCTTGGGACACTGTCTGCTCTCTGTCCTCTCTCCTGCTTGCCTCCCCTCAGGTGTGCAGAACACACTGGACACCACTGTGTCGTGCGCCCAGTGGGTCCCAAGCTCGTGAGTGCTGCCCGTCCAGTGTCCACTGCCTGTCATCCTGGAACATCGTGGCTCTCACCTGAGGGCCAAGGGGCAGGTCTGAGGCTCCCTGCTTGGGGCTCCCAAAGGACAGTGACTCGAGGATCAGTGGGCAGCGCCTCCTCACACTGAATGGTGCCACGTCTACCAGCTGCTGGCACCCCAGGAGCCAAAGCAAGAAGGCAGAGGGCAGAGGGAAGAAGGGCACGGCGCCGGGTGCCCACCACCCTGCCCCTCACAAAGCCGCCTCACCACGGTCCGGCGGTGTTGGGACAGTGGTGGTGACCATCGAGCTGCCGTGCAGCAGTGGGCAGGACCCCAGGACCTGAAGGGCGGGAGCGGTGGCCAGGCAGAAGGAGGGGCAGTGTCCAGGCAGCAGGGAGAAGGTGGAGCCCGCCCGGGACGTCCATGCCGAGGGCTCAGAGGGGAGGGGAGGGAGCAGGAAGGAGAGGGAGAGCAGGGCCCCGCAGGGACCCCTGAGGACCCCAAGGTCTGACAGAGAGGAACGACTTGTAGGGAAGGAAGCTGGGGCCCGAGGGCCGAGGAGGAGGAGGAGGGGAAGACCCCGAGAGTGGCGAGCACTGCAGCAGGACGCCGGTTTCCATGCCCCACCCAGTTCAGTGAGGAACAAGAAAATAATCCCCTGGGAGCACAGCCCGGGACTGCTGTGACTGGGTGTGACCCATCACGGTAGGTCAGCTCAGACCCCTCAGAAAGCTAAAACTCGGACTTCCGTCTGCCGCAGCTGCTTCCCTCCTAGTATCTTCTCTAAAGTTAGAGATGCCCTGATACAGTGACACGTGCACACAGCATTGCTAGCAGCACTGTCCTTAACAGCTAAACGGTAGAAGCAGCCTGAGTGTCCATCCACGGCTAAATGGATACAGAGAATGAATGGGGCATTTACACATGATGGAGTACTACTCTGCCAGAAAGAAAGATAAACTGGAGTCACTTACAGGAAAAAGGATGTGTTTTAAGACCATAATGCTCGGTGAAATAAATCAGACACCGAGGCTTAAATATTGCATGATTTCTCACACTTGAGAAACCCAAAGTATAAATAAATGAATGAGCAAAATAAAAGATAGACAATATAAACTGGGGAGATAGATCTTTTGTAAATGGTAAGGGAGGGTGAGGAGGGAAAGAAGGTACAAAAAGAATTCAGATGCATTATTATATCCATGTAACAACTCTGCACAATGAATGTAATCATTATGTACCGCAAATACTATTTTCTTTTAAAAATCACAATATGCCAATTTGACCAATGTAGAAAACACTCAGCAGATTCATAAAGCACAGTTCTGAGGAGTCTGTGGATGACTGACAGGCTGGCAGCAAACGGAGGAGGAAAACCCGCCCCCTGTGAGGAGGGGCTGACCAATAGGCTCGTGGGCTGGAGGGAATGAAAGGGGAAAGGAGGAGGTGTGTTGGTTCTGAAGAGCGCCAGCTTGCTCGAGTGGACGCGTCCTTTGCTGCCCTCACCTTTGGGCCTCGGCCTCCTGCCTCCTCAGCCCCAACACAGACTCACAGGGCAGCGCCCAGGAGCTGTCAGGCCTGTGACCTTGCTGCGTCCTTGATCCCTCTTGTTCTGCGGCTTCCAGCTTCTCGGGCTGAGCAGCTGCTGGACCCTGAGCTCTCCACACGAACAGCCATTGCGGACTCTCGGCCTTGGATCCTGTGAGCCCACCGCTGACTCTCTTCGTATAATGGCACTCGCATTCCGTATTGATTCTGCCTCTCTAACTGATACATCTGGATAACGCAGATAACTACCCAGCAACGGGCGGCCGGGCGGCCTCCCTCAGCCTGCAGAGACCTAGGGTAAGCTGGGTGTGCTGGTGCACACTAGCAACCCCAGCATCCCGGGAGACTGAGGCAGGAGGATCACAAGTTTGAGTTCAGCTTGGGCACCTTAGTGAGGCCCTGTCTCAGAATTTAAAGAGCTTGGTGTAGTGTAGTGTAAGACCCTGAGTTCAGTCTTCAACACTGCAAAAAGAAGAAGGAGGAGAAGAAAGAAGAGGAAGAGAGGAGAGGAAGAGGAGGAGGTGGGGGAGAAGAAAATACATGTCCAAAGAACAGAAAACTACCTGGCCGTGTCGTGAGCCTCCGTGGAGCTGTGCGGGAGCTGGCTTTGAAACACACTGCAGAATATTTGATTTTTCAGCCACCGTGAAGGGCATGGTACCGGTGGGGACCCAAAAGGATTCTAGTGACCAGAGACTTTGGATAAGGCCGGGGAAGCCCACGAGACAGGCATCTGGATAAATCCCTAATTCCCGGGGCAGCTATTTCCACGGCTTCTCAGCAGCCTCCTCATCTGGACCCCGCCCGACCACCACAATGACGTGTGCGACTATTTGGCCCCGAGTTGCGAGACCGGTCCCAGGAGTAGAGGGGAGCAGCCCGTCCCCAGCAGATGCAGGTGCTACTGGGCTCCGCAGTGAGCTCCGGCCCTCAGTCTCCTGTTGGTCAAGGCCCTGGACTCGGGGACTCTCTGGCTCATTTAGAAACCAGACTCATCGCTTTCAAAGCTGTGCACTCACCATGAGGGCGTCTAAGGTCAATTTCCCAAACGTGACCAGAAGTACTCAGGGAGCGTCAGTGTTTGAACAGGACCGTGGGGGTTAACAGCCCGGCTCCCACAGCGATGGAGGAACTGAGTCCCCCCAGCACAGTGCAGATGCAGGCCGAGACCTGTCGGGTGTCTGAGAAGAGTCTAGCTTGTCAAGCGAACCCCAGGAAAGAGGAAGCAGAGGGGCTGTGTGGAGCGCAGAGGAGGATTCAGACTCCTGAGCTCTCCACGGGGCCCCAAGTCCCCAGCTGCCTCACCCCAAAGGGCTGCCCCAGCCGGTGGAGCCTTCCTGCTGTGGCCCCTCAGGCCCGTGGAGTTTCCAAAGCCCAGCTCACAAGGTGCCCTTTGACTTAATGTACTTACTGTACACATCGTGGCACACACATACATGGTATACACGCTGACACACTCACGTGCATATATATACATGCAGCCAGGTGCGCACCCACATGCAGCACACACACTTTTGTGCATACACATTCATGCACACATGCACAGGTGCCAGCTCACACCCTGAAAATGCAAGCATAGCCCTCTGTCCCCATGGCGAGAGGAGCTCGGAGCTCTGCAGCCCCCGCCTGCTGGCCCAACAGAGCCAGCTCCAGCTCCGTTGCTGACCAGCCACCTGCATCATCCTTGGGCTGTCTGGGTCTTGTACAAGGTGAAGAGCTGGGAGGAGGAGGACCAGAACCCAAGATGGCCTCAGTGGTCGTCCTGTGCTGCACAGGATCTGGTGGGGTCACAAGAGGGTGGCTGGGAGGAGAGCAATCAACAGGATCAGTGGGGGCTGTGGAGCCCCACACAGCACACAGCAGAACCCAGCCATGGGCAAAGTTCCCAGGGTCAGGGACCTAAGGGATCACCCTGGGTCTCTGCCCCTTGACCTCCCAATCAGGCTGCAGAGAGCCTTGCCCTCACTGTATGCCCTGGGTCCCCACCTCCCCTTCCCTTCCAGGCACTGATGGGCATTTGCTGAGCTGGCAGCTGGACCTGAGGCTCCCACCATGGGGGACAAAGCCAGGGTCTGTGACTTCGGGTCCCTAGTGCAGAGAAGGAAGACAGATGGCCTGGACCAACCCAGCCCTCCTCCTGCCTACAGTCCACTTTCTGGGGTGCTGTTTGGGCCCCAGGAAGAGGAGAAAGAGGAGGGTGGTTCAGGAAGCAGTGAGGTAGGTAGGGTGGTAGTGACACCCAGCGCTGGCTCCGCAGGATTTGGACAAGTGGCACTCAGGGCTCCACCTGCAGACCAGGTGTGCTGAGGCTCTTGCCCTGGGGCTGGAGCAGGATGCCCTGACGGGACACAGGGAAGAGCAGGTATTTCAGAGAGGACAGAGCCATGCTCAGTGGGTGGATCTGGGAGGGTTGGGGAGGTGGCCGATCCCCTCATCCCTGCAGCTGCCCAGTCAGCTTATGTGACCTCTGGGCAGCTTGTCCTCAAGAATTTGCAATCTGACCACAAACATTGGCCACCAGGAACCTCTTCGACATTTTGCCATGACTTCTCAGCCCTGCAGGGGCTGCACCAGCCCAAACCCTGCATTCCCCACGAGGAGCCCATGTGGGCACAGCAGCCAAGCCCCAGGGCCTCCCTAAGTCCCTGGCTGTGGGCTAGACACAGTCCCTGAATGCAGAGTCACAACTAAAAATGAGGACAGATGACCACATGGACCCTCTGCTACTTGACAGACAAGCTTGGTGACAGCAGCTGGGGGTCACCCTCTGTCCTGCTGCCATCTAACCCCCAGGAGGGACTGTCCCCTCCTCAGCTGGGTGGTAACCTCAGCCCCGAGGCAATGCTTCCCATCTAAGGACTCAGTTCCCTGGGTGCACAGACGCTGCATCCGGTCCCCACAGAGACCCCCAGAGAAGGCTGGTTTCCTGGAACAAAGCCTCTGCCACCAACAAAGAGTTTAGGGTACAGCAGAAAGACACATTTACCCCGCCTGCATGTGGGCCCCATCCTGAGGCCAGCACTCCCCGCCCCTCTGCATGGTCCCCAGTACTGCACCGGGGTTCCAGGACCCACCTAGCATCAGGACATCTAGGCCTGTCTCCCTCTCCCTTCCGCCCTCCCTCCTCCCCTGTATGTGTTTCATTTTGCTGAAGCTACTTTGACCCTCTTCTCTGAGGAGTCCCCACCAATGCCCACGTGAAGCAGCCACCCACGTGCTCCAGAGCTCCAGTGCCGTCTGCGGCCGAGGCTGACACCCCAAGGCCCCAGAAAGTCCAGGGAGTAGAGTGGACCTCAGCTCTGCCAGCAGCGCAGCCCCTCGCTGTATGGCACCCAGCCCGAACTGAGCTTGGAGTTCCGCACCCCGTGAGATTCAGCCCGGGCCACATGTTGTCACCAAGCAGAAAGAGAAGCACTCAGAGATGTGCACAGACACACACACACACCTATAACCCTCTAAAGCCTCCAGCAGGACTACCCACTGCCAGGCAGGCCTCACCCACCTTCTCCTGGTGCCTCCCTGCCTCAGGAGCAGAGACCCTGGGAAAGATGTACACACGTGCAGGCGTGTTCCGGGGAAGAAGTAAAAACCTTGCTCCTGTTTCCATGGCAACCCAACTGGAGCTGGGGAGAAGGCTTTAATTGGAAGTGCTTATTTGGCTGAAACCCCAGGAATAATCAACAGGAGATTAGAAACATTAAAACCCAACAGGAGCCAGGAAACATCTTGGAGGGGACGGTGACAGAAAGGACAGTCCCCCTGGAAGCCATTGAGAATAATAATAACGATTGTTACACTGACCGAGGGAGTGTGCCCCGACAGGCGGTGCTATCATCTCTGTGTGTTTGTCGTTGACTGCATCTGACAGCCTTTAGGTCTTTGCTCCCGTTTTGCAGACCAGGAGCTCTTTGGAGCTCAGAGAGGTTAAGGAAGTGACCCAAGGCCACACGGGATTTAAAGCAGCCTTGAACTGACTCCAAAAGCTACTGTGGCCACAAGACAGTTGGGTCTTAGGACACACGAAGCTTGAAGCCTTTCCAAGGCAGATAATGGGCACCCTGGGACACCCCCAGGCAGCTCAGCAGCCCACACCCACTCACAGGCTTCAGCCTGGCCATGTAGGCTGCTTTCGGTGCCCTCCATGGACCTGGTGACCCCTGGTGGTAGCTGTGGGGCACTGCACTGTGGCCTGGTTTAATTTCCAACACCCAAGAGGGATGGGGATGGTCTGGGAGGCTGCTTCGGGGAAGCCCTGGGGAGCCAGCACCCAGCACCTTTGCAGAAGGCTGGGGAAGACCAAGGCCCCGGGAAACACTGATCCGGGAGCCCCCCACCTCTGTTGAGGCCATGGCAGGCAGGGGAGGACAGGTAGCCCTGGACATCTGCTGCGACCAGGACTCAGCCACCACTCAGGAGCAAGTGGCTGCAGCCCGCTGGCCTTCCAGCCCCGCCAGCAAAGTCCTGGACTTGGAAGGACTCTGCTACACTGTGCGGGCCAGTGTCAGCCCCTGGACCCCCATCTGGGACCCACAGCCGGGACGCAGGGACATGGAACAGCAGTGAGGGACGGAGCCGCCCAATGGCGGCTGCAGGAAGGAAGGGTGTTTTCACCAAATATGTATCCGCAGAGTAATTTAAATTACTTTTTTTTAAGCAACTGGCATTTACTCAGTTGGCATCTTATTAAATTTCCCCCTCTTGAACTACTCCAATATGCAAGTCACTGTGATTCTAAATAAGAGGACTCACAATCCAAACAGAGAGGGGAGAGGAGCCCCGCAGGCCCGGCCATCCAGCACGAAGCCAGGGTGGGAGGCCAGGGTCGGGGTGGCTGCACCTGGAGGGGGGCTGTATGCTGGTCTGAGACCTGGTACCCCATCCAGACCAACGTCATCAAGAAAGCCTGAGTGGGAGTGGAGGAAAGGCCCGTGGGGTGCACGTGTGCAGCAGGCCAACCCCAGGGTAGGGCCAGGCCTCTGCATTTCTGGCAAATTTCAGATGATCAAGCATCACCAGAAGTGGCTCAGGCACCGCATAAGGGTCCTGGGAAGGGATCCACTGCAGGTGGCTGGGGAGGGAACTACAGGACAGTCCTCAGGGCCACCCAAGGGCCCCAGGCAGCCCCTGCTGTAGACATCCTACCTTAGAGGAAGCTCAGGAGCGAGGAGGCTGAGGGAGGGCACTGAGCTCACTGCCAGTCAGGGCGTCCCAACACTTGGAGCTTCCTTCACCCATGACTGACCCTGGGGGCCCAGAGAAGCCAGGTGGGACCCACAGGACCCTGGAGGACATATCGGGAGGCCACAGCACTGCTCCCACTGGGACGTCTGAGCAGACTGAGGAGCCCGCCCTGCAGGTGGCCCAGGGACCGAGACAGAGGCGAGTCCCAGCGTAATGACCTCGGAGAGGCCAGAAAGCCAGAGCGCGGCCACAGGAGCTCAGAAATGGTTTGCTGTCTGGTGTAAGTAGGACCTCTCCGGCCCATGGGGTTCCATGAACGGACACCCCAGCTCATCCATCCATCCAATGCATCCCAGGCTGGGCTCTGTGCAAGGCCACAGGCCACCTGTTCATGCTTGTGTTCAGGGGCACTGGCTTCTCCACCAGGCCCGGCACCACCCCAACTGGAGAAGAAATGCAATCGCCATGGAAATGAGGCCATGTCTCCCCAGAGCCAAGCGTCCCTGGGCACGAAGGCCTGGACCCCTGTGCGGCAGAGCCTGGCAGAGGAGGCCTTGGCCAGTGCTCCACAAGCAAACATTGCCTGCTGTATACCGGGCACTTGCATCAGGAGCTGAGAACGGCACGGTCCAGAGCTCTGGCCTTTAGGGGTTCAAACCTGGGAAGGGGACACGTGGGCAGGTGACAAGGAGTCCACAGCTGGTCAGTGTCCCTTCTATGGGGCAGGGAGACACAGACAGAGAGAAACAGAGGAATTGAGACAGAGAAAAATAGAGATAGAAAGAGTCATGGATTCATAGAGACACAGAGAAACAAAGACAGAAATAGACAGATGGGGACTCCCGGGTGGTCTCCCAGCAGCCCTCAGAAGCCTGCCCAACCTTCCTGCAGGGCACCAAGAGGGCTGAAGTGGCACGATCTGCAGGAAGAAGGGGCCACGGTGCCACCCATGATTCTGCCTGGCCCAGGAATCTGAGCTTTTTCCTCTTTATGTCTGGAAGCAAAATCCCAGAACAGACCCTGCCTGCCACGGCCCAGCAGCTGCTGCTGGGCATTGGACCTCCTGGTGGCACTGCCCACCCCAGGCTCGGGGTCCCCATGCCAAGCCCTGAGACAGCTCTGAGGCCAGAAGTCTTAAACCCCACGACCAGGGGTAGAGGGTGGCTTGGAGTAAAGACAGCCTAGGACCCCAGGTCCTCAAGGACACTGAGGTTCCAAGTGCAGAACACAAGCCCAGGCCCTGCTGGGTGTGTGGCTCACGTGAAAGGCTCACAGCCGAAGCCAGGGGCCTGCAAGTTGGCACCCAGCCTGAACAACTTAGCAGACTCAGCCTCAAAATGAAATCTAAAAAGACCAGGGACGTCGCTCAGTGTGCAGGGCCCTGAGTGGACCCAGAGCCTCTGATTCTAACACCTGAGCCCCAGGCGTGGTTGTACAGCCCGCGTCCACTGCCAGAGTCCCCTGCTCTACCCTGGAGAGGGAACAGCACTGTGTGGCTGCACCCTGCACAAGCCGGGTCCCTGCCAGGACTGAGGTCCTTCCAAGAGCTACGTGGTGGTGAGCTGTGTCCAGAGGATCTCGGAGGGCTACCCTGGTCCCTGTGCAGGGCCTCATTTGGGCACAGGGTCTCTGCAGATGACCAAGCCGAGGCTGGCCTGAGACCAGGATGGATCCTAATCCCGGAGCCCCTGTCCTTGTGGAAAGAGTTAAGGACTGAGATCCACACAGGAGGCCTGGGTGACCTCTTCAGGGCTTCAGAAGGACCCCGCCCTCCTGAGCCCAGACTTCGCCAGAAGCACAGCATGGTAAAGGGATGTATGTCAGTTAAGGCACCCTCTGCTGCTTACTGTCATAGCTGCCCCACGGGAGACAAGACCAGGGTCTTGACAATCAACAGCGTCCCCTGGAAACCACTGAGCTTGAATAACCCAGCCTCCACCCTATGTGTTCTCTGAAGATGCCCGTGAGGACCTGGTCACACCTAGGATCACAAACCCACCCAAGGGAAAGGCGGGGCTTCCCTTCCCTTGCCCCAGGAGGGGACCCCAGCCAGGAGTGACTCTGGCAGGCAACAAAGATCCCAAAAGCAGCCCAATCCTGGCCCTGGAACATAGAACCTCAGCGAGAGGCCATCTCGCTCCTGCCCAATGGATACTCCCAGGAACGCAGAGGCCAAGGGGGCCCAGGGGCAGCAGCTGATCCCCCAAGACGGGCCCCCCGGGTGGGGAGAAGGTGCAAACACACAGTGCACAGGAGCTGCCAGGCGCACCCAGGATCACAGAAGGTTTATCCAGACCCCTGAACAATGCCGCAAATTTCTGTGATTAAAGAAATTTCTGTGAGCCACAAATTTCTGTGATTAGAGAGGGAACTCTCAGAGCTGGAAGAGCATGAATATTTGCAAATTCCATGCTGATTCCACTTTCCCTAAGCCACTTAAAGAGGTGGCTAAAGAGGAAGCATCCAATTAGAAGCCACAGCTCGCCTGTCACCATTCTGGGGCAAGAGCACCCTCCTCATGCAGCAGCTCCCAGGGGTCACCTCCCAGGCCTGGCCGGGGTGAGGCTCTGTGGCCTCCACCCTCCCTGCGGCAAAGAGGAGAAGGAGCGGGACAGGAAGACAAGAGCAGTTCACCAGATCCACATCCCCAGCCCCTCCTGCCCCGGGGGCCCTGGGTCTGAATCAGGCCCCTGCACGCCGGCACTCACCCTTCCAGTGCTCACAGGGTGACTGGGTGCCCAGAGCTGACTTTCCAGTCAGCTTCAGGACAGCCCTGCACAGGGCCTGGAGCTCGAGGTACCTCAGATGGTGGAAGAAAACCAAATGCACGCTAGAAAGTGTCCACACCGTTTGGCCTCCCAGTAACCTGGCCGGAACCACCCTCGTCCCTTGTCACTTACACCAAGGACACCAAGGTGGGCAGAGTCGGTCAGCTGCTCAAGTTCACGGTGCCCATCCAGCAGGCAAGCTCAGCCTTTGCCCAGCACCCCCTCATTCTTGAGTGTGGAGCTCCCCAGGCCACCACGGGGACCCTGCTCCCTGCTCAGCAGCCCAAGTCATGGCTGAGAAGGAGCTAGTGGCTCTGGGATATGTGGGATTCACCTGGATGGGGGCGAGCTTGGTCCAATCCCCGCGTGCTCAGGGTGCCACCTTAGGCCCAGCTGTCTTTAAACTTCCTGTTGAGCATTCAAACATCAGGCTGATAACACAGGAGACTATGCTGCTTCTGGCACGTGGACGGACGCAGAAGACATTCTAAGTGACATGAGCCAGGCACAGAGGCACAGCATGCACAGTGTCACCCCTGTGAGGCAGCTGCAGGAACTCCAGCAGGCAAAAACAGAGTGACAGCCACTGGACCCTAGGAAGGGCACCGGGCAGGGCGATGGGGCCACTGGATGCAGGGCCCGAGCACAGTTAGTGAGGGGCCGTGCATCCCGCCTCATCCACAACACAAGGGGACCATGGCTCACAACAGCTCCCCATGGCTTTCGTACAGAGCCGGAGACAGGAGCTTGCAAACTCCAGGCACAGAGAATGGTGTTGGAAGAAACGGAAACGCTAATTACCCAGACTTAATCAATACACATTATAGACACATTTTAAAAAATGTTTTATAATTTTAAAACTGACAAGCTAATTGTGCACGCCACACCCCATATAGCTATGTTCTTTACCACAGAAATAATTCTACGCCAAAATCCTAGAGAGAAACAAATGCCTGCTGAGAGCTTGGGGGTCACTAGAGGAAGCTTACCTTGGGGAGATCTCTGTAGGTCTCAGAAAGCCACCTCGATCCT